CATCTCCCATCTCTCCCCATCTCTCCCCATCTCTCCCCATCCCTCCCCATCTCTCCCCATATCCCTCCGCTGATCTCGGCTGATCTCGGCGATTCCTCGGCTGTACCCTGGCCAAACCCCTCGGCCTCACCTCGGCCATACCTCGGCCATCCCTCGGCTGCCCCTCGGCTGCACCTCGGCTGTACCTCGGCTGCCCCTCGGCCATACCCCTTGGCTACCCCTCGGCTGCCCCTCGGCCGTACCTCGGCTGCCCCTCGGCGCCGCAGGACATGTCTCTCGGCCTGTCGACCGCGCCGGTGCTGTACGCGGCCGAGGAGTACCCGGAGCTCAAGCAGCTCATCCTGCGCAAGTTCGAGGCGTCCTAGACACGTCCTAGACACGTCCTTGACACGTCCTTGACACGTCCTAGACACCTCCTAGACACTTCCTAGACACCTCCTAGACACCTCCTAGACACGTCCTAGACACTGCCTAGACACTTCCTAGACACCTCCTAGACACGTCCTAGACACGTCCTAGACACCTCCTAGACACGTCCTAGACACGTCCTAGACACTGCCTAGACACTTCCTAGACACGTCCTAGACACGTCCTAGACACGTCCTAGACACGTCCTAGACACCTCCTAGACACGTCCTAGACACGTCCTAGACACGTCCTAGACACGTCCTAGACACTTCCTAGACACCTCCCTAGACACTTCCTAGACACCTCCTAGACACGTCCTAGACACTTCCCAGACACACTTCCTAGACACCTCCTAGACACGTCCTAGACACGTCCTAGACACTTCCTAGACACCTCCTAGACACCTCCTAGACACCTCCTAGACACCTCCTAGACACCTCCTAGACACCTCCTAGACACTTCCTAGACACCTCCTAGACACTTCCTAGACACCTCCTAGACACCTCCTAGACACCTCCTAGACACCTCCTAGACACCTCCTAGACACCTCCTAGACACCTCCTAGACACCTCCTAGACACTTCCTAGACACCTCCTAGACACCTCCTAGACACCTCCTAGACACTTCCTAGACACCTCCTAGACACTTCCTAGACACCTCCTAGACACTTCCTAGACACCTCCTAGACACTTCCTAGACACTTCCTAGACACTTCCTAGACACCTCCTAGACACTTCCTAGACACCTCCTAGACACTTCCTAGACACCTCCTAGACACCTCCTAGACACTTCCTAGACACCTCCTAGACACCTCCTAGACACTTCCTAGACACCTCCTAGACACTTCCTAGACACCTCCTAGACACCTCCTAGACACTTCCTAGACACGTCCTAGGCGGCGGGCGACGTGGAGGCGGCGTGTCGCGTGGTAATGAAGTCGGCGGGCTTGCGGCGTACAAAGGAGCTGGCGGCGTTCCACGCGCAGGCAATCCGTCGGCGCGCGTGCCGCAGTACCCTACCAAACCCGGTGCCCAAATCCAGTGACCTGACGACAGGCCGCCGTCGACGCGTGCTGCACGCTCCCGCCTTGCGAGGAGAGAGACGGGCCCGTCAGCCTAGACGCGGTCTTACTCTCTCTCCCTCTCTCTCTCTCTCTCTCTCTCTCTCTCTCTCTCTCTCTCTCTCTCTCTCTCTCTCTCTCTCTCTCTCTCTCTCTCTCTCTCTCTCTCTCCTATGACTCCCTCTCAGTATCTATCTCTTGCTTGCCATCTCCTCAACTCGTTGAC